AGGAAACAAACTCAAAGGCTTTACAGGAGTCTTGTGAAGGTATGCGGCAGGGAGCGAGGAGAGTTGTGAGAGATTGTCTTTTGGGAAAAGTAAAACACACACGAAGCTCGATTCGTGTGGAAGACGTGTTCAGGAAAACTGAGGAGCAGGGCAGGAGAAGGAAAACCTTTCATAGCGTGACAGAGATTTTCAGCACGGACATGCATCATCGCATACTTTCATCGATTAATGGCTAAAAGGATCCTAAACATGTTAGGTGTCTTTTCATGTAATAGATTGATACAAGACACATGTCGGTGAAAAGTGGAAAGGTTGTAGTTTATTTGACTCCCTCGGGATACTGACGAAAATGTGTGCTTCGCTTCATGTACAGATTTCATTTTTTTATTGTTTGCTTGTGCAGTCTGATTTATGGTCTTGTCCATAAAACCATCAAAATTTGTTGCACATGTGTTTTTATTTCTTTCTGCTATCCAGATTCCAAGTTTGTGTTAGCTGACGTGAACTGATTAAACTCCTTGTAAGTTATTTATTTGTTGTGGAGATGTTTTGAAGCTTGCTACAAGCACTCACTCCTTCTTTTCCAACCCTCCACTTCTGGAGAGTGTGGAATTGTTGATAAGTCATCTTGGCAGCTTGGCAGGAGTAATCATTTCCCTCCAGATGTTAGTTTGGGTAGGAACCAGAAGGGAGTGAAGAGGGAGAAGGGGAAAAAAAACAGCTGCCGCCACTACCAGTTCCACCCCTGTACATGAAGTCATCTACTCCTCCCTCTTCACGTCTCCCAATATCACCTCTTCCACTCCATTCTGTTGATTCCCCCCCCCCTTTCCCAGCTCAATCTCAGTTCTACACACACAGCCTCTGTGTGTCCCAGGAGACTGCCGGGGCAGGCTGTGTTTACTGCTGAGGTAATTGGAGTAGTTTGGAGAGTCTGACCCTGGCCCTACTAAGGCCCAAGATGTGTGTGCGTGGCTGTGTGGGTATACTCACACGTGTATATACGCCTGTTTGTGATGACTGGCAGTGAGGCCAGGGAAGGAAAGCGCGCCTCAGCCAGTGTCAGCCCACTAGGGAGCTGACAAATTGGCTTTCACAATGCTGTCTGTTTTTTTTCTTCCCTTTTCTTCTCATATTCCCCAGCTTTATTCTTCCTCCATGTCTATCCCTCCTCCACCGACAATCTTTCATACATTCTCTTGCACCTACTCTGTAATGCTTTTTCAGATCCTGGATTCATGTTTCACTTTTTTTTTTAAAATGTATCTCTCTTTGCTCATCATCTCATCTCTGAGCCGTTAGCTGTGCTGCATTGACAGTAACATAAGTGAAAACTCCCCTTCAGTTGCACCCATAGGCGTGAGCAAATTCCTCCAGCCCATCACAGGCACCAGCTGTGTTTATCTGGGTGGGGATGAGTTAGGGAAGGGTCTGGGGTTGGATTGTCGAGAAGGAGATTCAGGGCACAGGCATGTCCTCATTTAACTGGTGCTTATTGTCATTCAGACAGATGCAGTATGAATCGTTGAATACAAACTCTGTCATGTGTAATAATTGGTATTAGCTACAGTTTGTATTCATCTAACATATTGACACAAGCCTGGATCAGAAGAGGCACCAAAGAGTGAAGCATGACAGGGATCTCACATGCATCAAGTGACCTCATCACAGGGTTGTCAGTTTGGCAGTGGGACACGGCTCACATACTTTAGCTCATCGCACTCCCATCTCCCTTCTCTTCTCCCCTCCTCTTCCCCATTTCCCTCATCCCTCTGTCTTGCTTGTCCCTGATAGCTTTTACCGCTCTGCTGATTTCACAAATAGGTCTCATTGATTGAATCTGATTCTTTTGGATAGAGCAGCTTTATTGAGTGGCTTTTTCACTGATGGACAGCAACATGGAGGCAGTGTATGTTTGTTACACACATGCATGTGTGAATGTTAGGTAGAAGAGAAAACTTCCTTCCCTCATTCCTCGCGTTCCCTAATCCAGCAGCTCTTTCTCTCTGGGGTATTCCAGCAGCCGCATCATTGACACACAGTGCCAATGCTCACACACACCCTTTAGTGATGGCTTCCTCTGAGTGAATGCTTTATCATGGCCCGTGCGTGCTGATTTAGGAGTATGTTAATTGTCACGACACTTTGAGCAAGGCAACATTAAATGCTTTACTGCTCTCCTTGGAACTGTTCATCATTCATTTAGGATGGACTTCTTTGGAAGGAAGTAGGCCCAGCATACCTGGGGCCACACGATTAAAGCTCATCCAACTGTTCCACAGCACTTGTCAGCAGCCTCATCTTTTTGGTTTCTTCTGATCTTCAGGCTCCTGTCTGTAGTCATTTTTGTGCCGTCGTCATCGTGCAGCTCAGTCCACGGTGCTGATATTGCCATCCCCTCCCAAATAGCCTCAACAAGACTACAGAAAAGGGGGAAAAAAGCTAAATGTAGTAGGAGGGATTTTACATTTTGACGCAGGAAAATGAGCTAGTTTCCAATGTGAAGCCGAAATAATCTGTCAGGGTTTGTGGGTGTCAGCTAATAAACTGTGTTTGTGAGAAGATGGAGCTATTTCAACAGCCCTCCACTGAGGATACACACATTTCGCATGCAGCACAACCTCGTTCTGGCTGCATCTTTTCAGAAGCATCTGTGCTCCTCCCCTCTTGTTGCCCTCTATTTTGTGTCTCTCCACTAAACAGGCAGCGAGTGCCACCTTTGCAGAGTTGGATGGATGGTGGCACCTTCTTCCCCTGTGCCTGTTTAACCCCCATGGCCCAGTAGATCTATCATAACACAACACCCACAAGAATCTAATATTCATCCATCCTACAACTGCCGCTATTTATGTATGTTTTTTTTTCCTTTTTAATTTTGGGGATTTGTTGTGCTCCCAAAGGAAACCTGCAGTTAATAGTTTTGTTTAATTGTTGAGAGGCAGCAGGCTTCTGTTTTCAGGTGTTTTACACAGTATGGCTTCTGTTAATGCAGGTTTGATTTAGCAAGAGACCCACACACTCACTTCACAATGAATGTTGTCGTCTATATGTAACCAGTATGTGATCAGTATGTTGACCAAAAATGCAGCACAGCCTCCACAGTGTGACTTTTTTGGTGTGATTGCAATGATAATTTTCATTTGTGCACACTGTTTGTACAAAGATTAGAACATTTAATTGGTATGCTTTTAGCTCTCTGTTGAAGAGGGTGTAGTGTCCTGTGTGCTGCCATTGACCTGGGCAGTGCTCAGTCAGTGTTTTCTCAAGCATGTCAAGTGGTGCTTTTCCACTTCATGTTCTGACGGTAAAGGAACAAAATAGTCCTTGACTGCTCTTTAAGTACATTCATGTTTATTCATGCGTGTCTAGTCTATTTTTGAATGATTAGTTATAATAATTCAGCCACTTAACGTGATAATCACGATGTATTTAGTTTAGAGTCAGATTTTTATCATGTATTTATTTAATGTAATGTAAAGGCAATAAATTCAGAGCTGTTTAAAATGCAAAGTCAGGGCTGCACTCTGAGTACCCTTTGACTTTCAGCTCTGTGATGCAATCTTCTATTCTCTTAAATCATGTCTGTTGGGTCGGGAAGGTTTTATTACTGGCTCTTGAGCTCTTTAACTGCATGTTGTTGTAGCGTGGAACACATTTTAGTCATTTAAGATGTGTGATTTCCATTTAAAGAAGAAACAATGCACAGTTGACAAAGCAAAGGAAAGGGAATTTCCTTGCTCGTTAATTGGGAGCTCCGTGATGCTCTTAACAGTGTGCACGCACACACACACACACACACACACACACAGCTGAATAAAGTGACTGCTCCGAAGACACTGCCTTATATTTAGTCAGGGGAGACCAGCCTCTGTCACTTTTTCTCTTGCTTAACCTCGCTCTCTCTCCTTCTCTGTGGCTTTGTTGAAGAGGCGTCTCGAGGGAGGGCTTAACTTTGAGCCCTTGTTCTTTTTTTCCTTTCTTTCTCTCTTCCCTTCCTCTTCTTCTTCTCATCCTCTGAATGGAGCTACAGATGGTTATTGAACTATGACTTAGTCCACGAAACAGAGCCTGCATATCGAATAGAACAGAGAAATGCTGGAAGTTCAGTGTCTCTTCCTGTTTTTCCTGGCTTTTGGCTTATGCAGCTATCAAGCTCGCATGTCTTATTTTGTGGGCCTCTTTATATGGAGTTTCTATTCAGTGTGAACATGACTTCTATTTAATCCTTTGTTCTTGTAGGCTGTATAACTGAACAAAAGAATATCACGACTTTAACATATAGCTGCAAAAGCCCTGAAATCAGTAGTTCACTTAGAGTTGACCTGAGCACTCAACATGCTCATCTTTGCACCGCTCACGTTGGAAAATAATTCACAAAAAGCCCAAGTGAAATTATGATGTACTACCTGGAAAATCACTGGGGCTTTTTTGTTGTCATGGTTATTGAATGTTTGCTTGCTCCAGGGGAAATGGAGTTTTGTGGTGGAGAGGGAAAGCAGAAAGGAAAGGGGGGGATGGATGGGTGTGAATGGGAGGAGGGGTGCTATCTTAATTGCTTTCCGTGAATAATTTCAGTCCCCTAATTTGGTGATAATGACAGTGGCTGCTGCTTATGTATTTATTTATCCAAACATTAATTGACAGGACTGACATTAGCCAGGGCGGTTATTGCACATTTGATTGTGCACAAGGGAGCAAAGAAAATTACAGTAATTATCATTCTGATATGGATTATGAATATGCATTCTCACTCTTAATGTCTCAGTCAGCAGTTTAGTAACGACAAGGCACTCTGCCATGACAACAGTACTTTAGCTTATCCCCATCTTTGTGTCCCTAAACTTAATCCAACCTGTGCGCGTGGAGATGACAGTCATGTCTAAGTGAATAAACTGCCTCAGTTTGGCATTGCGCACCCAGGTGTGTTGTTAGATTAGCTGTTGTGCTGTTTCAGTTGCCCTGTAATGTTTTCCTGAATCTCAACTGTCTTTCTTTCTCAGGCGGAGGGAGAGGACAATTTGAAGAAGATGCAGCTGATGGAGCTCGCTATACTAAATGGGACATATAGAGACAACAATGTCAAAACACGTAAGTAAACAGGTCTAGAGAAACACATCCATGATTTTGCATTTTTATTTTTTGTAAGCTTTTTACCTTTACTTCATATGCAGAATTGAGTTGTACTGAAAAACTAATCCAATAATATATTTCATTGAACTGTTTACCTTCATTAGATGTTGTCTGTGTGCAACCAGATCTTGCTTTCCATCATGTTATCATGTTACCACCATTCCATCTTGTTATCTGTGACCATGAGCATACCTCTTTTGAACTCTGAACAATTAAGGTTGTCTTCCAACCATTAGAACAACTGTTTCAGTTCCATTCTCCATATTTCCTTCTTCTGAATATCCTTCCATCCATCCTCCTCCGTGCAGCCCAGATGCCTCTGCTGTTTATTACTTGCTCAAAACTTCCAGCACATTGCTGTATTCCACCTGCTCAGTTCTGCATGCCAGTCACTAGATCACACAGAAAAAGCCCCTTTCAGACATGCTCTGTTTTCCATTAATCTGGTGACAACTTAACACATCGGTGTCATGTGTGAATTACCTCCTGGTGCTTTTCTGTAACATTTTGAGACAGAAACCTTACTAGGTCAGAAATAGTAACACATATGTGCAACGTGGCACAAATGCCACCTCAACAGCCGGGCCTGTACAGCAGTAATGGATTAATTTGACAGATAACTCCATAAGGACTATTATATAATGTCACACAGCCCAGTCTCATGCCATTCCCAAAGTTTGTACACAATGACTTTTTGCATCACTTTTACAGGCATTCCTGAATAAAGCTGTGAGCAAAATCAATTGAAAAGCAAATAAATCATATAAATAGAATAATGAGGCCATTAATAGCCAGTATCTCATGTGTGAGTTGGGCTTTATCGGGTCCAGAACTTGTCCATGTTCTCTCTGGTTTTTATGGAGGCCTTATCACCCAAAACGTAATCTTAAACTCGATCCTTAAAATGGATTATTCCATGCATTTGGGCTCAGCTCTATAAAGGGAAAATTAACGTAATCCATTAGGGTGTTGAATTTTTTTCCCATTAGAAATCTGTTGAAGTGGTTGCCAGAATGATTTAGGCCACTATCTAACACAGCTCTCAGCACTTGCTACAGTACAACGTCCTGTACAAATATTAGTTTTTTTAAATCCATCTGAAATTGACCTCTGACTGCGTTGAAGATCAATATTTCTGTGAATCATTAACAACCTAAAGTTTAATATTCTACCACACTAACCTTCAAATCATACATTTAAAATTCAGCTGTGAAAACTCCCTCCTCCAACATGCAGTCAATAGCTCTGTTAATGTTGGCATGTGTCATTGACCTCACCGAGGCTGTTTCTAGTAGATGAATGTATAGTTGCTGTGGTGATCTGTCCGCTTCAGTCGCATTGGGATGACCGCTGTATTTTTTGCTTTTTGTTTTTTGGTATGAGGGTTTTAAAAAAAATTCTGCCATATTGATTTTCTTTTTGCAACAGATTTCCGCTTTTGTGGTTCCCCACCATGATCATTGCATGGACTAATTGTTTTCCTTTTGCTCCTCTCCCTCTCCTCTCCTCTCCCCCCACCTTTCTTTTTCCTCCTTTTGTATTTTCCACCTTCACTGTTCATCTGTGAAAAATGATCAACCACACTACGCTTTGTTTCTTGTCCTTTCTCTTTCTTTCTCTGCCTGTCCTTTGCTCTCTTGCTTATGGCAGCCACCCTTGCGTTCTCTCTTGCAGCAGCGGCAGCAGCCGCTCAGGGTCCCCGCCTCATAGCGGCCCCTGGTGGTCAGGTGTTGCCTCCGGCACTCCGACCCCCAACACAACCTGGGGGCCCAATCATGAACCTCATCCGGCCTACTCAGATGGCTGCCATGTTGCCCAATGGCACCCCCACCCTGGTGCCTCCCACACCGGATGCTGGGCTAATCTACACCTCCCCTTACGAGTACCCTTACACCTTGGCACCCACCTCCCTGCTGGAGTACCCCATCGAGCACAGTGGGGTTCTAGGTAAGAGACCCTGGGGATGCATGGGTGCAGCAGGTACAGCGGCCAACTTTAGCCAGCCTGGACAGGATGGCAGCTTTTTTTACCCCGGAGTGGGGATGTTCGACGCGGCTTCCATGAGCCACAGTCAGGACTTGTTGAAAGGTAAATATGTCGTGTCCACTTGAGGATCAAATCAGACAAACTCACAGGGTGGATGTGCTGGTGTAACTCCTGGTGATGGGATCACCAGCAATGTAGCTAATATGGACACCACAGTTTATACTGAAAGGCAAAAGGGGGCAAATTTAACTTGTGAGGGCTAGGCTGTTAAAAGTCTCTTTTATTCTCCTGACCGAGGTTATTTCACTGTTTCAGTTACACTCTCACAAAATGAATGCGCTCTCAGGTTTACATTGCCTCTCTTCTGTAATGGTTGTAGGAGGACTTGCCTCAATGCAAACTGAGACGGGCTGACAGAAACACTCTCAAACACACAGCCTGCACTCTAACCCTTTCATGCACTGGCCTGAGGCATATTTGGTCTGGCGGCAGATCCCCTTGGATTTCTGCAGCTTTTGAAATCATTTCTCTGTGCCCCTCTCTGCAGGCAGGCCTTGATGCCTCCAGATAGTCCTTCTCTCACTCCCGCTGGGGATGTTCATTAAACTCCCCCAGTCTTCCCATTGTTCTTCTTTCCTACTCACCATTGTTTTAGCTTCACTAAAGGCCCAAACATTATGCTCACCCTCAATGGTGTTTAAAGCTCAACACATCTGCTACCAAAGAGACAACTGCGTGTCTGTAAATATCTGGGGGGAAAAACAGTGGCTAGTGTGTGCACCACATGTTGTAGTTACAAGTGTTGCTTTTTTCCGTGCTGCGGCAGAATAGACTTCCAGTTTGTGTCCAGTTTAATGTCTGACACTGTACTCTATAATGTTCTCCATGGCATCATGTGGCAACAGCAGACACAAGTGTGATTTTTAGCTGACCTGCGTATCAGAGGAGCCTCTGGGAGGCATGTGTAGAACAGATGGGGGCAGCCGACTGGCTTTTCTCTCTTTAACTTGCAGGGTTACACTAGCTTAGTGCATTTTATTTACTCACACTATCGATTGGTGCCTTCAGCAGCACAGGGCCCTGTGGAACACACTCGCACACTTTTGTGAACTTGGCTCGGCTGCACGCGCTACTGTATCAAGGCACCGTCGGCTTCTCTCAGTGTAAGATAATGGTGGGCCATCTGCTGCTTCACAATAGTTTAGGTAGTTGCACAGTCATCAGACAAAACCCCCGCTCCTATTAGTGCCAGGAGAGCTCATCTCGTCCGGGAATGTGTTTTTCTTCATTCCAACACATTTCCATCACATTTCCATAAGACTTGAAGATAGTGCGGCAAACAAACTTTGTTTGTTTTTGTCACATATATGACGCCGTGTCATCCAGTCCGTAGGAAGAAATCAGTTGTGACAAATTTAGGGGCGAAATGACAGCCTCCGCCGTCAGTGAGTAGATTGACCTGGAGAGAAATGGTGAAAGCAGGAAAGAGAAAATGAAGGAAAGAGGGAGAGGCAGGTGGTGTCTGGCACTATTCAATTACCATCAGAGCTGTATTGGATTTCCCCACCTTTCAAAATAAAGAGACAAATTTCTCTCAGTTCCCCTGTGGATCCCACAGGAAGAATCACATTATTTTTCTAGACAGCCCAGAAGCCCCATTCCCTTTACCTGCCCCCTTTTCATAGAGTCCCCATGTAACTGAGCACTGTGGAATTTTAGTACTTAAGTTATGCATTTTTGAATACCAAGCAAATCTCCAAAAATTTATTATTTTTTTCTACTGCTTTTTCTACATGTAAGAAAGAAAAAAAGTCTTGTGGTGTGTATACGTATTATAATCTGTATTATGTTTTGTGCATTGTATAATCCAAGCATTAGAAATCATAATGGTTAAAATGTGAATGTTATTACTGTAAAAGATGACTGTTTCTCCTTTCCTCAAAGTGAATGGTTTCTAACCTTGTGGACCTGTTACAATCTAGGTGCAATGGCTACTAAAGTGAGACGGCATGACACGCGGGTCCATCCTTACCAAAGGATTGTGACCGCTGACAGAGGTCAGTTTAGTCTCTTAGCTACACTTTGCTATTGACTGATGCATTTCAATGATTATTATGCCTATTATGCCTCAATGCCTTAGTTGGGAAATGTATATTGTCTGTATTGTATTTTTTTCTTTTCCTTTCCCCCTACCACCTTTCCTACCCAATACACCCACATACCAGCTAAATGGTTGACTGTGGTATGCACATTTTGTTTACATTTAGTACTTATCATATACAGTTCGTGTAGACTGTAATATGTCAAAGCTCAGGCAAAAATGATCTTAAGAGGTTTCAGTTCATGCAGCTGTGAAGCCAGGGAAGGTAAATAATTTGCAGGCAGTGTTTGAGGTATATAATGACATTCCTCTGATGTGAGATTAGAGCCTAAAATGGGGCAGCCTTGTTCCCATAAATGATTTAACTCCTGGGCTCAAAAGGAAAAAAGACAAAGAAGAAATATTTCTTTACTGTATGTGAGAGACATGGCAGGCAGAAAACGAGCAGCCACGCTGCTTCCAGGCACCATTTCACCATGGAATTCACCTTTATTTGGGATTTTTATTTTTCTATGGAAGATAGACACGCACAGACATTAGCTGAGGTAGCTTGCATTCTCTCCAGTGTATTGCAGATATATATTGAACATTAAGCTAAATACTTTTTTTTAAATATTTCAGTTGTACATGAGGTACTGTCATTTTATATTTGAGCATTTTATATCAAATGTATTTATGGTTTTGTGTATATTTATATTATATAAAAAATATACTGCTAAATAAAGATAAAGAATCAGAAAGTATTGATTCATCTATTCATTGCACATTTAACACTAGTCACAGTTATCCTTCATATAACTTTAGTTACCACTAATCACACCGTAACTTGCACTCCAACTTCAAGGACACTAAAACACTAGAGTTTTGTTTAGTTTTTTTCTTTCTTTCTTTATTTCTTTTTTTACTCTATCTTTCTTTTTTGTTTTTGTTTTTTTGTTCAACCTCTCTTTGCTTCTGAGTTTTTGTTTTTCGGGGCGATGTGCTGCTTAAATTGAAACCACCATGCTAGCTGATTGAGGGTGGGGCTGAGCAGCTGGGATCATGACGACGTCATGATTCTGATGAGATTAGCCGGGTTCATCTGGTAGCGGTAGGGGGATTAGGAGCAGGGAGAGATTGCATTCATTTTATTGTTAAAATGATGTCATTCCAGTCTCTTCTTGCTGACACTAATATCCTTTCTATCTTTTTTTTCTGTTTGTTTTGTTTTTGTTTCTAACCACCTAGCCGCCACCGGCAACTAACACATGACCTTCTGACCTCTGAACTCTTCACCCAATGACGAGCCGCCCCAAGCCTGCCTGCTGATCAGTTAACTGGTAATTGCCTTTTGCTAGCCTCTCGGACGCAAGTGAGAGCGAGAGAGAGAGAGAGAGGCGCCTGCCCGTACAGTTACCCTAACACGTAAAAAAAAAAGTAGAAACCAACGCAGAGTCTTCACTGAAACACACAACAAAAACCCAACAAAGTTGTGTATTATTCATTTTCTCCCTCTGTTCATTGAGTTTAGTTCCCATTCTTTCTTTTTCTTTTTCTTCATCAATCATGGACTGGGTGGATGTGTTTGTGGTTTTTCTCATAAATCTGCACTGAATTATATAGCAATAAAGACCCCCCCCCCCTCCCCCCAAGTCTCTGTATTGCTCTGATTTGGTGACCTCACTTTGTTATTAGTCAAAGTTCAACATCTACAGCTTGTGACGCAAACCACTTGGTTTCAGAGTAATAACATCACCCTCCAAAACACCCCCAGCCCCTCCCTGCTCAAAGCATATTTCTGTGGGCGCCTAATGGCTCACGCCCTGATCAAACACCCACCTACTATGAGAGAAAAAGAAATGGAAGGAAAGGGAACATACGCTCATATTAACTTGTTTAATTTCTGTCATTTTTCACATGTATTTTAGTTGTTGAGCTCTACTTTGTAATTATGAGCTGACACATTCTGGGTGTGCCCCTCTAAACGGCTTTCTGTCTGTTGTTTTTAAAAGCATGGCTGAAATGATTGCAGATGGAGCTTTTTTTATGATTTTATGTGTTTTTTTTTCTTCTGTCTTGATTTAATGCTTTTCTTTTGAGTAATTTTCTCCACTTGATTTAGTTTTTTTCTGTTCATATTTGACTAATTACCCCTGCTTAAGTAGACTAGCTAAAACAAAGCACACGCTTATCACCAGAAATCAGAACACGGTCTCATGTTGTGGCAGGCTGCTGAAACTTAAGAAAAATTACAAAAGGCAAGGTGGGAAGGTCGATGCTTGGGTGGACGGGTGTGTGTGTGCGTGTTTGTGTGTGCGTGCGTTTTAATTAAAACTACAATGAAAGTAGGGTGTGCTGAGCTTTGGGGACTTTGGGGCAGTGCTTATAAGCTACTGACCACTGCTACATCCCTTTGCACACTACATCCACTATACAGTGCCTGATGTATTCAGCAGAATATATCAATGAGTTAGCTGAGCTGTGATCACAAAGATTAAAAAAAGTGTTGTGCATATTTAGCCAAAGGGATTTCCAGTGAAAATATATATCTGCAGTAATGCATCGGTCTCACAGAGGGCTCTCTGTTTGATTTTTGAGTTTGGAAGGGTGTGAACTTTTGGTGCCTGCCTTCAGCGGGAGCAGACAGCCAGTCAGATGATTTTTTTTACTCATAACTACTCAAATTTTTTTTCTCTCTGGGGGTGAACACAGGCAATTAACACTAAATTAACATGCTACATTACTAGGGGGAAAGACACTTTGAAGTTCTGTACATAAAGGATTTTGTTAAGAAACCCGGATTCTATATTGAGTTGTTTCATTGAGAAGTAAGCATTTATCTCTTGATTTTTTGTTTAGTTTTTTTGTTTTTTGTTTTTTTCATCTCAAAGTCTGGTCTTTTTTTTGTGTTGATTTGTTCTTATTTACAACTCCAAACATTTTGTATGAGTTGGGGCATGAGGTCGGTATAATCTAAGCCTTCCTGCCTTTTAATAAATTTGTTTTGTTGAACTGTTTTAACAGTAAAACACATGCCAAAAGTGCATCCACAATGTGTCACTCCTCCCTCTGATCATGCTCCAGGTTTTGAGCCCATAGTAATTTGTTCTACTCTCTCAAGAAAAAAAAAATAGGATGTGAAAGCCATGCCTGCCTGTTCAAATTGCTTTATACATACGTCTTTTCTACATATATATATGTATATGCATAGATATATACATGTGTATATATACATATATATACGTATATATATCTATATATAAATATATCTATATATATGAATATAAATATGAATATTAAAAATGTAGATATTTGTCATTGCATATACAAATACAGAAGAGAACAAAAACAGATCATTTTACAGGGTGCTGGAGATGAAAAAATTGAAAAATCTATTTTTGGCAATTTTAGCTTTTGATACTTTACTTGCAGTTATAAAATCAGAAAAATTCAAAAAAAAAAAAAAAAGTGTTAAAGTGGTATAGAAGAAAACAGAAAGACTGAGTGAGTGAGGGGGAAAAAAACATGCTGTTACCTTAAAAATGATTGGAAAAGGAAGATGAAGACCAAATCAGTCATAAGCTGGTGAGATCAGAGTGAGACAGATGCCTAAAAGGATCAAATCAAAGTGCCTTATCAACAGTGGTTTCTGTTTTCTAGTTTCCCAGTTGTGTTCAATAATATCCAGCACCCACCAAGATGGCGCAGAGGGGGATGGCTAGTGTTACACGCTCTGAAAAGTCGAGCATGGCAGCGCCCACCACAGCGTGGCGTTACCCAAGTTATTCTATGCAAAAAGAATAGCAGTCGTTTTGACCAGCTAAAATATGTGCCATGGTTTTGTCTTCCTGAAATGATTTTTTTTTTCTTTTCCTTTATTTGATGGCCCTTTACTCTGCTGTGTGAGCAGGTTTTGTTGTCTTTTCTTATTTAGATTTTAATGATCATATGAAATATTGTCTTGATTTTTGGTGACTGTGATTAACCTCCTAGAACAAATTGAACTGCCAATAGAGACCCAGTTGTCTGCCAGAACATGTTTTGATCATGAGCTGAGAAAAATACATAACATTGAAGGGAATTGATAGGTAAGTGGCGTTGTCCCCGACGGCATTAAGCCGCTTTGTTTCAACATCTGAAAACTGAAAAGCATCCGATCCACGTCGATCCGAACACAAACTATCAATACAATAATGAGATTTATAATGGACAAATGAAGCGCTGGATAATGAAACAAGCAACTCTGTTTCACAGCCAAATAGTTTTCAGTTATTGAAACAACTGACAGTTTATCGCTAGAAGGTGAAAATGATATTAAATTGTGGAATTCTTAGATCCAATATAACCTTTGGCAGTCTGTTTTTCTATTCATAGCTCTTTCATCATGCTGTTGCGCCGAAAGGTCAATGAAATTTTCTTTTTCAGTGTTATTATTTTAAATTGAAATGCAATATTAAAGTGGAGCAAGAGATGGCAATTCAGCATTTGACAGTATTAAGAAAATTCCCTCTGCAATGTTACAACTTGCTGTGTCATTGTAAAGAAGGCTGGATAAGTCCATCAGGTGAAAGGTTGACTCTATACCTACCGTATTCTCTGGCCTGCCTACTACATGTATGATAATGTAATTAACAGCCATTGTTACAGGTTTATAATGTATTTTTCTAATCTCATTTTATATGTATATTAATCATGTTTCTGAGTGCTTTATTATTTCTTTTTTCCTTTCATTTTATTTGAAATGAAACCCACTGCAACTCCCCCTTAAAACGGCCCTCTCTTGTCCCCCACCTCTTCTACTTCTCAAACTGTCTCTTGTGGGGAGTGTTGCCTTTTCCCTGTTATATTTTGTTTTCTTGCCAGTTCCCAGCTTGTTTAACTCATTAGCTACTTTATTAGTTTTCTTGTCATAAGTATTTTTACATGCTTGCATTTAGTTTTCATGGTGTATGCTGTTATTTTTCTTATTAACCTCT